CCCATGTTCGCGTGGGTTTCCTCTGGGTGCTTCGGTTTTCCCCACAGTCCAAAGACATGAGGTATAGGTGAACCGAATAAACTAAATTGGCTGTAGTGTATGTGTGTGAATGCAAAAGTAAGTGGGTGTTTTCCAGTGTTGGGTTGCAGCTAGAAGGGCATCCACTGTGTAAAAAATATGCTGGATAAGTTGGCGGTTCATTCCACTGTGGCGACCCCTGATGAATAAAGAGACTAAGCCGAATAGAAAATGAATGAATGATACACTCAACCCTCTTTAAATCTTTACATGATGTCGTTTGACTATAGTCTGCTAGGAACTCACCTAATAGGTATCAGGGCATATAGTGGTTATTCAGGGTGTGTTTGCAAGCCCTTGCACCCTTCTGAAAGCAAGGATGTTAAATGGGACTTCGAAAAACTCTTAAATTGAACAAACATTAAACATCATAAGATCACAAGTGAATATGAAGTGTGCTGTTGGGGATTGGGCCAATCTCGGAGGCATTTCAATGCAGGAGAACATTCATTCAGTCATTTTTCTTCAGCTTGGTCCCTTATTTAACAGGGGTCACCACAGCGGAATGAACCGCCAATTATTTGTCATATGATTTACTGGCAGATGCAAAGCCCCAGTGCCCATAGACTCATTCACACATCCAATCTAGTTTATCTAATACTTAGCACATAATATTGATGACTCATCTTGCACTTGTGGGCGTGCCTAAAATTTTTGTCCAATCAGATTCTATCTACAATGAGAACTCTCCTCCTACTTGCACAAGATATCAATGAAGTCAGAGTATGCATGTGATTCTGCAGTCCGTTTGGAAAGATCTGTCTTCACAACTTTCAATCACTGGACTGGAGATGATTGTGTGTTTGGGTGCATCAGGAGGCTTTGGCGCGTTCACATTCATGGAATGCTGAGCATCTCTGCAGTCGGTCAGGCAGCTGGCGTGACGGCTGAGGAGCGAGCGCTGGAGAAAGAGGGGGGTGTCACACTAAATAAGCACAATTACACTTTTGCAGGATGGAAACCAGATGACCACGGGCACTGACAACATCCAGGGGTTACACAGGCCAAGGCTCAGATACACACTCAAACACAAAAGACCCTTACAACATCCTGGAGCCCTGCAGTAGATGGATGGGGAGGCTCTGTAAACACACGGCGTTTCCCACACTGCACTTTCGTGATCTAAGTGTGAGCTCAACCTCCCCGCCTCATTCCTCCCACTTTCTCATGTTTTCCAAAAGCACCTCCATCAAGACATTTCCACTTATCACCTTCTTTGTCAACTGTATCGATCCCAGTTCAGTTGGGTTGTTCCTCTAGTCTTCGACACTAAGATTTAGCAGTGTGTCAGCTAGGCTTTTTATGTCATGTTCTCCTGCTTTCCTTTTTTATGCCTGTTGTGTGTGAGCAGAGGGGGTGATTTTACATGACTGGGAAATGAGCTAATAGCTTAGTCTTTATGACCTAATTTCAGAGCTCTCCGCTTGCTGAGACAAAGACGGAAACTACATTCAACTACATTCCAAACGCAGCTCAGTGTGTGACTTTCTCTTCTGAAAAATACTGTATCTGATTATAAATAAATGTAACTTTGCTTGAACTCCGTATGACAAGATATTTGCATTTTAGAAGGGTAGTTTAAAAGCATTGTCAGTTTAAAGATCAATTTAAAAGCATTTCTTGTTTTAGATACTGAAGTGGTTTATTTCTTGAACAACAAGTGCTAAAGTTTAAGTTCTGATTTAAAGTAAAAAATCAACAAAAAAAAAAAAAAAATCCACACACTCTTTCACGTTTGGATAGTAATGCATGTGATATTAATTAAAAGGAGACCAAAATAATACAGCACTGACTTTGCATTTCTTTGTATGCTTAAAAACGTGCCGACAATAAATGCACCATCGCCCTCTAGTGGCTATTGAAATGTGAATTCGATTGCTTTCTCCGGGGGAATGTTTTTTATTTTTATTTTTAAGAATTAGTTTGAGCATTTACATTACTGGTAAAAAGTCTGAGGTCAGTAGGATTTTTTATGTTTTTTAAAAAGCTTATTCTACCTACGAAGGCTGCTTTTATTTCATCAAAAATACTGTACAAAATGTAAAATTGTGAAATGTTATTGCAGTATAAAATAACAAAAGTAGTTTATTATTTTTTTAAAATCATTTATTCCGGTGATTTTAATGATGAATTGTCATTACTCCAGTCTTCAGAGTCGAATGATCCTTCAGAAGGATCACTCTAATTTGAATAATAATAATAATTATTATTATTAATTCATTATTATTATTATTATTATTAATAAAATCAATAATGACTGGAGTAATAATTTCGATTGAAATTACATACAATAAGAAAACAGTAAAATTGTAATAAATATTTAACAATAAAAATGTATTTTTTGCATTTAATAAATGCCATCTTGATTAACTTTTTTTGATGAAAATTTTCTTTAAAAAATAAAAATGGGAAAAAAATGACTCCAAACTTTTGACTGGTAGTTATATATCTATTTTATAGTTATATATTTTATTACATTTAACATACACTTACATTAATCCCCCTGTTAACAAAACAAAAAATTCCATAATGAAAAAATTCAATTACAAAAATTAAGTGTTTTTAAAAAATTGTTGATCCACATAAATAACATTTAGACTAAAACAAATACAAAATGTATTAAAATCAATGATAGTGTTGTTTAAATAACTATATAAATAAAATAGATTCATTTATAGTTAGTCAGAAGTCATTTCTGTTTAGCAGAGGGAAGATTTTTTTCCAACACATTTCTTAACATAATAGTTTCAATCACTTATCTCTATAAACTGATTTCTTTTATCTTTGCCATGGTGACATTAAATTGACTAGATATTTTTAAAGACACTTCTGTACAGCTTAAAGTGACATTTAAAGGCTTAACTAGGTTAATTAGGTTACCTAGGCAGGTTCAGGTAATTAGGCAAGTTATCTGTAGACTATCGAAAAAATATAAAGCTTAAAGAGGCTCATAATTTTGTCCTTAAAAATGCTGTTTAAAAAATTAAAACTGTTTTTATTCTAGCTGAAATAAAACAAATAAGACTTTCCCCAAAAGAACAAAATATCATCAGACATACTGTGAAGATTTCCTTACTCTGTTAAACATCATTTGGGAAATATTTAAAAAGGAAAAATAATTATTCTGACTTCAACTGTATGTAAAATAATTCATAAATTATAATCTACTTATATTCCACAATGTATTTTAGACTCATTTAAAAGGATTTCTTCACAGTACAATAAAAAAGAAAGGTATTTATGTAAGAAACTATACTGACGTCTGCAAAGATTTCATATCTGTGTGTCTGTGGCTATATACACAAAATTAGTGGTATAACAGCTTAACATACTATGTATGTTTATGATTTGGAATTAGGACAAGACAGTGGCATTGCTGTGTGAAGTTTGCATGTTCTCCATTCATTTGCGTAGGTTTCCCCCACAGTCATCAAAGACATGCAGTACAGATGAATTGAACAAGGTATGTATGTGTGAATTCAAGAGTGTATAGGTGTTTCCCAGTGATGGGTTTTAGCTGAAAGAACATCCACTACGTCAAACATTCATTCATTCATTTTCTTGTTGGCTTAGTCCCTTTATTAATCCGGGGTCACCACAGCGGAATGAACCGCCAACTTATCCAGCACGTTTTTACGCAGAGGATGCCAGCCCATCTCTGGAAAACATCCACACACACACACACACACACACACACACACACACACACACACACAAACAGACAATTATACACTACGGGCAATTTAGTCTTTCCAATTTACCTGTACCGCATGTCTTTGGACTGTGAGGGAAACCGGAGCACCATGCAAACTCCACACAGAAACGTCACACAGAAACGTCAACTGAGCCGAGGTTTAAACCAGCGACCTTCTTGCTGTGAGGCACCAGCATACCTACTGCGCCACTGCATCGCCTACGTCAAACATATGCTGGATAAGGTGGCAGTTCATTCCACTGTGGTGACCAATTAATAAAGGGACTGAAGCTGAAGGCCTGCAAAATCGCATCACTTGACTGCGTGAGACCAATCAAGGATGAAAACATGACCTCTCTGAACAGAAATTTAAAACAAAGCAATCGCTCGCTTTTCATAAATGTCTAATAATCTTGTTTAATTCTGCCCCGTTTGCAGCGCCACACGACAGAATTTCGCATTATCAAACTTCAGTGTGACAGCAGCTTATGCCGAAAAGAAAATGAATGAATAAATGAATGAATGAATGGTTTGGCATTGGCCCAACAGCAGAATGTTATTATAAAAGGAATTTGCTCATTATTTGCACTGATTTATTTATTTTTTTATTATAGTTTAGTTAATATTTAATGTGAAATACTATCAATAATTAAAAGCCATCATTTTAGCACTCTTTAAAAAGTAAAATAATAGGAAAAATGGTAACACTTTAGACAAATGGTCCATTGGTTAATGTTAATGCATTTACTAACATTAAGTATAAATAATCTTGTAAAGCATTTATTAATCATAATTTAACATTCACTAATGCATTAAAATCCAAACTCGTGCTTGCTAACATTATTTAATGCAGTTAACTCAAACTAACATTATTTAACATGAATGAACAAAATATCATCATAAATGTATTACTAATTATTTGTACATGTTAGTAAATGCATGAACTAACAGAGCAATATTTTAAATGGCTACCAAAAAAAAAAAAAAACTGATCAGGAAACCGATGACACAAGGAAAATAACACATTCCAAAACTATGTCAAACCTTAGGCCACATAACATGTGAAACCGCTGCTGGCATTTCTGAAAAACACCTCAGTCATGACCTTCCGGGTATAATCTACCTTCATTATATAGTTAACTCTTGCTCCAATGGTTGTAATTGTGTTCACGTGTTTACCCAAGAGCTATTATGATGATTACTCATAGAAACTTTTAACAAAAATAAATAAAACTTAAAAAAGAAAAAAGTTTATTGTTCAAGATTGAAAATTACAATATTTAAAAACAGAAATAAAGAAATAAAGTACAGCGGTAAGAAGCTATTACAGGTCACAGTTTATATTACACACTTTTATTTATGGAACTGTCATGTATGCTTACAATTAAAGCCTATAAAATATTTTAATTACTGAACTTTTAAACTAGAGATCATTAAAAATGTGTCACAAGCCTATAGATAATCAACTCCTCTATCAGTTGTAAAATTTAAATGTTTACATATACAAAAGTCAAGGAAAATCCCTTTATTAGTTTAATTCTCTTTGCTCGAGGCTGTGATAATAAATAGATCCCTGAAAGTGAAATTACTGTTGATATAATAACCCTAAAAAAGTGACAAACAAGGTAACAGCCAACTCAAACGTTAGTGCAGAATTAAAACAGTATACAAATCTGAGCAACAGTGAAACAGCATCTCAGTTACGCACACTTTTTAAAGTAAATATTACTCATTTGGAGCATATTTGTGGGAAAATGTACTCCAATTGAACTTAAACTGTTGCTAATTTAAAGTGAGCTGAAACTTGGAGTGTTTTGAACCCGACCGTGAAAGGTTTTAGATTTCTTTGGGTAGTTTCTCATAAGACACAGGCTCCTCTGCTGGCAGCAACTCCTCCTTATCATCCAGAATCCTGAAGTGTGGGTGGGAGTTTCTGCGCACTACGATCAGGATCAGACCCACTAGCAGTAGGGCAGACATGATGGCCAGTGTGGCAACTAGGAAGAATGCTGAGAGCAAAAATAGGATACATAATACATTTAGAATGTTGTATCAGCAATATTAATATACAACTGATCTCTGCATTAAAATGTATTCATAAAAAGTTAATTAATATTTAAAGTATATATTATAATAAAATAAATTTATAAAATATAAAAGTTTAAGACAATTAAATGCATAATGATACAAAATAAATACATGAATTAGACACAAAAAATGCTGGGTTCCACCCAATTCCTTCATGTTGTCCCAACTCCCAACACAGATCAATTAAGTTAAATTGATTGTCTTTACAAATTTAAATAGATTGAACAAAAAAACTCCCCATAAAAATGTTGATTCAGTGCATTTTAAATAAGCAGTTTGAACAAGCAGCAAAAATAATGTTTGCATATACACTTATCTGTTTTGTATTTATATATTTCCCCCCTTAAAAACTATAAATAATAGATTTGAAATGATAATAATATTGTTACAATAATAATAATAATTACAACAAAATAAGATTTTTTTTCTCTCTCTTAAAAGCTATAAATAGAACTGGAATTATAAAAATATTGTTTCACATATATTACACACACACACACACACACACACACACACACATACATATATATATATATATATATATATATATATATATATATATATATATATACACATACATATACATATATATATATATATATACACATACATATACATATATATATATATGTATGTGTGTGTGTGTGTGTATATGTGTGTGTGTGTGTGTGTGTAATATATATATATATATATATATATATATATATATATATATATATATATATAAACAGGGCTTAACATTAACTTTTTTTGATCACCAGCCACTGTGGCTAGTAGATTTCCAAAATTACTAGCCACTTGCCATTTTCACTAGCCACAATTTTGTTGCTTGGAAATTATATTTTGTATTAATAAATGCGACTTTGACATGCTAAAATGACTTGATTTAGATGTTTTGTTGTCCGCATCCCTCCTTATTTATTTCACTGTTTGTGCGTGTTGTGTATGAGCTTGCTCACTGTGCATGAGCAAATGAGTTGTGTCGCATTGCAATTGGTTTTTATTTCACATTACTTTTTTTAGGGCTCAAAATTTAGGATTTGCCAAATTTATCTCTGGCCACACCAAAAGAAAACTTTTCTTTTCTTAAAAATTTCTTAGCCACACATTTTAAATGTGTCAAAACAAGCAAATATATAGCTGTATACATGCACTTTTTATTCGACAAAACTTAAAAAAAAAAAAAAAAAAAAAAAAAAACTGTAAGCAAAAGAAAGCAGGTGAAACAAACCACGAGTGATAATGAAAGGATGATCACGTGCCTGAGAATAATTTTAATGAAAGCAGTGACTGCTGCTCACAAAAGGTTTGCTGCTTACACTAGCATTGCTTTTTGTCTAGTCTATTTCAAAGAGAACCGATCGCACCATGTCCGCTTCCTCTACACACGGCTGTTTCGCGCAAGTAAACGGGAGCGCGCCCGCACTTTTTAACAGTAATCCTCTCATAAGGGATTCAACTGCTTTTGCTCGTGCGAATACAGACCCTGCTTCAAGAAAACTACAATGTAAAATTTATTTCCAACCTGCCAAAGTGGCTAGTGGGAGCGTCTGTCTAACCCGCCAAAGCTGAAATCTACCCGCATTTGGCGGGTTGGCGGGTGTTAATGTAAAGTCCTGTATATAAATAATTGTTTTTTTTTATTATATTATTTTATACTATCGCCTTACCCGGAGTCCAGCGCCTATGTTTCTCATGTCCATGTTCATCAAAACGACCTAAATAAATAAAGAAATAAATAAATATACTAGCAAATCAAAGGCATTCAAATATATTACAAGCAGATTTCCTCCTACCGTCTTTGGTGGAGCAAACAGACATGCACTCTTCTTCACTGCCATAGCGGTTCAGGTTTCCCCTACAGCCTCCATAGATGAAAGGCTGACAGGACTGACTGCTGGCCTCGAAGAAAAACATACGAAAGGATGCACGGCACGGCCCCGAGTCAGATGGCACAACACATTTCTCTATAGAGTTGAAGAAACATGAAAATGGAAAGATCAGGAACATTAGACCTTTTCTATCAGAGCATGCTCCTCAACCGCTTGTCCAAGATGTTGTTTGGTCCAGGTTGGACTCTCTTTGTTGGACTCAACATTAAGCCTCTACAGCTGCTCCAGAGCAGAAGAGCGGTCTTTAATGAAAGACCAAAAGAGAGCAACTGTTGCACCATTGTTCATTTTTTTTTACACTGAACGTCACTCACGTCAAGGTGCTGTCATTTGCCTACAAAAAAAGCAAGCAAGCCTTTACCTGAATTAAAGCCAAAACCGCTGTAAATTAATAGCACTTAATGTGGAGGCAAATTGAGACACAAAATCACTTACACAGACTTTTATGTTTTAATGTTTTAAGCTTATAGAATGACTTGCCAAACTTTACGAGAGCTGCTGAGTATTTTAATATTTTCACAACATGTTTCCAATAAACACTACCTGATCTAAGATTTGTCACCCATACAAGTTTTAGGAACAACAAATAATAATGTGGCTTCTAGTTGATCATTTGGTATCAGAAGTGGCTTATATGAAAGGCAAAGGCCTCTAAATTATGCTTATTTTACCGAAACAAAATATGATCATGCCTTGATTTTTAATTATTTAATTAGGACAGTAAGCTCTAACTTTGCTTAGACAAAGTATTGTCACTTAACAGAAATAATGTACAGTATAGAATATAAAGTCATGCTGCAGTGGAAAAATTATTTATTTTGTGTATGACTCCCATTAGCTTGGAAGACTGCATCCATACATCTCTACAACGACTCAAATAACTTATTAGTAAAGTCATGTGGAATGGCAAGGAAAGCCTTCTTCCAGTTCATCAAGATTCTTTGCATCCATCTTCATTGCCTCACCCATCTTATCCCAGACATGCTCAATAATGTTCATCTCTGGTGACTGGGCTTGCCAATCCTGGAGCACCTTGACCTTTTTTGCTTTCAGGAACTTTGATGTAGAGGCTGAAGTATGAGGAGCGCTATCCTGCTGAAGATTTTGCCTTCTGCTCTGGTTTGTAATGTAATGGGCAGCACAAATGTCTTGATACCTCAGGCTGTTGATGTTGCCATCCACTCTGCAGATCTCTCACACACCCCCATACTAAATGCAACCCCAAACCATGATTTTCCCTTCACTAAAGTTGACTGATTTCTATAAGAATCTTGGGTCCTTGTAGGTTCAAATAGGTCTTCTGCATTATTCGTGATGATTAGGATGCAGTTCAACAGATGCTTCATCTGAAAAAAAATCTACCTTCCGCCACTTTTCCAAATGATCAATCAGAAGTCAAAATTTTTGTCAGGTAGTGTATTTTGAATTGGATCTGTCAGCATGAACATTTCTATTCATTTGCTTGCCCTTTTTTATACCTTGTTTAAAAAAAAATGTATATATATATATTCCACATCTGTCTGTTAGTTTGTTGCGTTGGATGTGAATTTGATTAGAACAAGAAATTGTTGATTAGAATGGTGGATTTGCGAGTTGTACAAGAGAAACTTTGGCATAGATGGTAAAATGATTGTTAATCAACATCGAACCTAATGGAAAATGTTTATTAAACATATTCCAGGTTATATTTCATCTGCAACAATGATGTGAAGTTTTAGGAAGAAATTTTTGGTCAGTAATCTCTGATATATATGCATAATTATGTAAACACCCGAGGAGAACTCTCTACAAATAAAACTTCACCCAAAATTGAAAATGTACTAACTGGTGACTTGCCATCAGTCATTTGCAAACCTTTATGAGTTTCTTGGGTTTCTATTCTGTTGAACACAATTGAAGAAAGCCAAAATCCAGTAACCATTGACATTCATAAGAAAAATGAATACTAAGTCACTGGTTACCAGTTTCCAACTTTCTTCACAATATCTCCCTTTCTGTTCATAGAAAAGTCAAACAGGTTTTGTAATAAGTGAAGAGTGAGCAAATGATGACAGTTTCAGTTTTGGGTGAACTATCACTTTAAATATGAAAGACATTTGAGTAATGTGAAAGGATGATTGACAGGGCACTAAGCCACTTTTTGCCTTACCTTCAAAGCTGTGGGCACTTTTTGGAATAGCTGGAATGACAGGGCCCTCCTGTTCTTTGGGAATGATCTTCACTGGGATGCAAACACACAAAGTCAGAATCTCCTGATTATGGTGATGGGGAAAATGAACCATTACACAGAGTACTACCTGTGCAGGCTGTCATGCATGAATCCTCAGATTCATAATTGTTCTTGTTGCCACCGCAGCCTCCATAGATGAACTGTTGACAGACTCCATTGTTGTAGTAAAAGCGCTTAATGGAGGCTCTGCAATTTCCAGTCACTGCAGGAGACTGACACTTCTCTGAAAGACATAAGAGTCAATGGTGTTTAACTATACTTAAAGATGTGGACAACATAAAACCATGGACAACTCATTTTATTTTAAATACTTAAAAAAATAAAACCCAGATGAAATACCTTGGAATTCCTCTGATGTCATTTCAGTAAGAGCCTTGGGATCAACATCTGAGGAGAAGGATACAATTTTTAAAAGTGAACAATTTAAATACTACAAAAGTAATGATAAAAACAAAAGGCAACTTTTATTTATAATACTGAAGTATTAAACAAAGATCATCCGTTTTTGTAATAATGTGTCCTCAATTGAAAACATGTTTTAATACAGACACCTTAATATAGCCAGCTGTAAATATGCATATAGGCATTGTTATTCAGAAGAAGCGCAGTTCGAGTTATAACAGCTTTGATTACTCATTCCCCATAACAATGAAATATTTAAGATAAAAATAAACATGTTGCTGAAACGATTAACAAATTACCTATAATTATTATTGTACTCAGGTTTTTTAATATATAAAAGTCTATTCAGCATTATAGTTCTGACGTGAATGTGTACTTTGAAATCTTATTTATTTTATAAATTCTAGATAAATTTGAGTTGTTTTTAGATTTTGGTGAATTATGTTTGTGAAAACTTTCAAAAAGAAACTTCATACACAAATCTGTGAATATGCATGTTTGGTGAATGAGACCCATTATTTTGTTCTGAATAGAGCACAGTCTGATTTCTGAACTCCATTTTAAATAATTTAAAAAATAACAATGGAATTTGTCTTTATTTATTTAGTGCAAACCATTTCTAAAATGATAGGCCATTTAAGCTTCAGCCTTCATGTTTCTAAATAAATGTTTAAAGCATGATCACTCCTATTAAGAATGGGTCTTATTGGGATATCTTGAAAACAGTTATATTTGCTTACCATTCTTGATTTCAGGTCCAGACATTCGGCTGCGCGGAGAGACAGAACGGGCGTCCTCAACAGCACCTGAAAACAGATCTGTAAGTTTAATATTCAGCGTTTTTTGTAAATTCACATTATTTTTTGCTCACCAAAACTGCATTTATTTGATTATTTTTTATTTAAAGAATCAGTTCACGCAAAAGTGAAAATGTGTTTATAAATTTTCTCACACTCCTGTCACTTCAATGCCACTATTTGATAAACCACTTCAATAAACCACTATTTGAAATGCATATTAAAGTCTTTTATGTTAAACCAGAGTCCTAAGAAGTCCAGAAAAGGTGCAAAAAAAAAAAACTGTCAGCACATTACTTCAGAGTTTCAACTGTAACCATACGAAGATTAATAACAAAAACAACTTTGTTCACTAATGTCTACTGCATCAGGTCTGAATGCATGTTTATGCATGATGCATGTGCAATACGATGCTTGAGAGTTGCTCTGCAGATCTAATGACAAGATGTTATAGTTCCTATAGTATACTTGCACTCTGGCAACCTCAGTTGCAGGAGAGAAGACACTTGCGAACAGGGTTGTGTTTATAGTATTTCGTTTTGGCACACAAAAGTGTTCTTGGAGCTTCAAATGATCACAGTTTATCCAGTAAAGTCACATGAAATGTTGACTATTTTGGTTCCTTGTCTGGAAGTTTAGAACTGTTGCCATCTATGGAGGGTCAGAAAGCTCTCAGATTTTATCTAAAATATCTAAATTTGTGTTCTGAAGAAGAAGTTCTCTTTTGCATACTAATCGTGCTATATGTCTCAGAGGATACAAACGACATGAGGGTGAGTAACTAATAACAGAATCTTCCCTTTAGGGTGAACTAACCCTTTAAAAGGAACCGTTTTCCTACCGACAGTCATTTATTCTTGAGATATAGCAAAGCTGAATTTTGTCTTCAGTCTCATCAGACTCCTCAGAAAACATTTGTTGTTAAAATGTTGAAATTATTTTTGATGAATAAAAAGTTCAAAAAACAAGTGTTTTATTTGGAATTAAATATTTTGTAGCATTATAAATGTATTTACTTAATTTTAGGCACCCTCACTAAAAAAAACAATAATTGAAAAAACACTAAATGACACTTTTGTTTCAAATGTTGAGGTCAGTAGGTTACAAAAACTAAACATTACCATGTTTTTTGCAAAAAAATATAGGAAGCAGTTTTCTCTCTTTTTCAAAAAAATCCAGTTGCACAATTCATTACACATTCTCACGCATTACACATTGCATAACACAAAACAGCTTAAAGTGTTGTAAATAAAATTCTTTGTATGATTTCCCGATGACAATGATATGATTATGCCATAGTGTGTCTTTATTGAAAGCAAATGGCATCTTTTTACATCTAAACATCACCTCAACTCATAAACATGGTAATTTGGTGGATAACAAAGAGTTACTCAAATACAGCAGGCACAAAAACAAAGACCCAGTGAATCATAAACTAAAGAAATCGAAAAAGTACTCCCTTTCCTCTTAGTGAATTCATGACTCACTCAAAAAATACCTGTAAAAGAGGGAAGTAGTAACTTTAAAAAAAAGACGACTAACAACTAATGTGTTTGTGCTGAGGACAAGTAATCCATCTGCAACAGAGGTCACCAAACCGGTTATTCAACAACCCAGAGTAAGCTGAAACCTTACTGAGTCTTTTCATAGAGATTCAGTATTTTAAAAAACACTGAAACTCACTGAATTTGTCACATACCTCATTGAAATCCTATAGAAATATCTAACCTAATCAACTTTGACTGAAGCAGTTTTGATTTCAGCCTATGAAATGAAGACTCTTTGCTCTGGGAATATGCTGAGAATGATTTAATACTCAGGCCTCATGTCAAGTTACCTGGCTGAACTCAGCTATGAACTCTAAGTGGAAAGAAATCTACTCAACGCCACTCAAAATATAGCAGAACGTAAACCAGCAGACTGACCATACCGAGCACACAGCCAACCACAAACTACAATGTGGGCACTGGATTTGCGCCCACTTTCGATGGAGAAGGGCTGTAATAGATCTTGTATGGTTTTTTCCAAAGCTCATATTTTGGTCTCCTTGTCGAAAGCTGTTTTCATCACCACAGACATGTGGGATCATAAACTGATATGCTCTAAAAACTATTTCAAGTGCCTTTTTTGGGGATTGTAACGGGATATTAAAACCTGGGCCTCGCAAACCAGCGTGTCAAGATTTCAACTCAAAATGGCCCATAAAACTATGTTTTTTTTTGGGCAGGCTAAATGTATGTGCATTTCCTTCTGGTGTCCAATTGCAAACACTGCCTAGATGCAAATGTCAGCTGTCCCAGAATCCAGGATGTGTTTATTGATTTGCATTCATCGAGCCACATTTCTTACATACCACACCATACAACTAGGCTGCTGACACATTGCTAGTAGCATAAATAATGGTGCTCTGAATGTCTCTGTCCATTTATAATGGTTTCAGAGATAAAAATCAATATTAAACACATACATGCAGCTTTTAGATCATATTGTACAACCACAAATCTAATTACAAAACACTGAAGATTACTTTTATCTGCTATCCAAGCATTTGATTTGACATTGTGCTTTACCAGACTAAGTACGCATGCAGACGTATCAGCTATGATTCATAAACAATGATAAATGTGAAGGGAATGACGCAGAAGTTGATTATTGTTTTGGCTTTTTTGTAAGATCAACATATTACAATGACTTCTCAAAGATCACATTTTTACAACGACTTCAAGGATCACGTGTATTTTAAAGAATGCTGGTTGATGGTAGCAATCAATCTACATTGGACTTCCAAAGGATGAAAAAATTTACTATGACAGCAATCAACATTCTTCAAAATATCTTCTTTTGTGTTTAACAGAAGAAAGAGACTTAAATAGGTTTTGAACAACTGAAGTAAATTATGATAATTTTTTATTTTTGTGTGTACTATGCCTTTAATAACTTTAATAATATTTAAATTTTTTGTTTTAATCTATTTTGATTAAATAAATGCAGATTTTGACATTCACAAACAATAAATAAACCGTAACAGCGTATCCATTTCAAACTAATGTAATGCATTTTTTTATTTAACACCATGTCAGCAACCAAGGTTATTTTCATGGCAAGAACAAATATAGCTATATACAATTAAAAAAAAAATCCTTAATATCCATTTCAAAGTATATACATCCCAATTTCATTTGTGATTATAAATCTAGTGTCATCAGAGCATTAAAACACTTAAATAATAACTGCATAAAACTCAAATGTCAACTTTTAGTAAATATTAGCTGATATTTACCCTTCACCCCAAGACAGGACGCCTCACATTCCGCCTGGGAGTAAAAGTTATTTTCGTTTCCCCCACAGCCACCATAGATGAAAGACTTGCAGGTCTGATCAGTGATATCGTAGAAAAACCTTGGGAAGGCAGCACGACAATTCCCAACCGCACTTGGGAAACGACAGTGATCTAATAGTAAAAAAGAAAAGGAAAAATCAATAAACACTTTTTAGATATGGACACTTCCCTCTGGGTCATAATATTACTGCAGACCTCAGATCAGATCTCATAGCAATACCTAACAATTACATGTATTGGCGAATAATTAGATTTACATATCATTTATATATTTTATTAATGGTTTTTATTTAAAAATAAATAATACACAGATGCAAAAATGACTCAGAAAAATTTGACAAAATATTCAATATTTATATTTTCCAGTGTCCATGAGTTAGATCAGACTGACTATGCTGTCACTTCTCACAAATGTAACATATGTTTTTTTAGGCATTTTGAGACTCAACCTTTCCTCATGCAATTAAAAGAGCTTTGTTTACAGTACTGGGTTGTAAAACCTGAAGTACAGGTTGATCATGTAAGTGGACAATAATGCTGAACTACTACTACTTGGAAAAAGGGAAGGGTTTTAGACAGCAGTTTTTGTTGAGGTTAGGTTCATTTATTTGCTAAATTGTAAACTTTATTATATATACACGTTTGTAGATACAATTTATTCACAAATAGGTATCAACCTAATGTACACGCTATTTATATATTTTTATGTTATATATTGTGTATGTATTGTAAATGGCAGAACTATTTAAAGAGTGAACTAACAACGCAATAATAATACAGTAAATTGATTGACTTTTATTATGTCTTTCATAAAGCTGTGACATTTAGTTGTAAAATACTCATATTTAACTAGAAAATTATTATGGAAACAGGCGTTTTATTGTCATGCGATTAGAAAACCAAGAAATAAACTGAGTAGATAGCTTACAGGCCAATACACTTGTTTTACATATTCTAATATGTCGACATATTTAAAGTTTTCTTTATAACAAGAAGCATTTTGGTGAAGTCAAATGGTGCAAAACATCTTTAAAAGGCATACACGTTTTGTATATTGATGAGAATTTATATCTGTTAATGAAGGTAAAAAAAAAACGTAATTAAAACGAATAAAAACTTTCCCATAGAGAAAGATCATTTGCATATGGTAGTTTTTCTGCCTAATACAGGGTTACACTTTAATTCATAGGCTAGGCTTTGACTCTTTAAACCTGTTTTAAATAACCAACTGGCTAACTAATAAAGTAAATAAGCTAAAATTAATATAATCGTTTAAGAAAGCCTACATGACAATTTGTCTTTAACCTTTTTTGCTAAAGTAGTTTCATTTCTGGCTTTGTTTACCTGTGGTGTTCAGAGTCCGAACTTCCGCCTGATTTTTTTGCCCTTTGGTGGTCTCCGCGATCTTGCGGTACACCTGGAACTGTGTGGTCTGGCTCAAAACACACACGTCTTTGCCGTCCTTCATACAGTTAACAAGGTTACATTCTTGCGGGCCGTCAGCTGTTTTTCCGATTAAGGCAAGCTGGCAGTCTTCCCTCTCACAGCAAGCCCGCTGGCACTGCTCGACGTTCATGATCTCCGACAGGTGGGTCAGGTAAGGCGCGTTGTCATTAAAAGACTTCGGATCCAGACCCTGGTTGATTTCCGTGTCTGGGTCCCAGATACACGCGCTCAGAACCGACAAACAGCATAGAAAACCGACGATTGATGTTGTAAACCACACCTGAGCCATTCTTTGTTTTCCTTTTTACCTGTCCCAGCAGCTGTTTTCGTGTATGACCGACTGTTTGCGACTGCAAAATGAAGTTGAACGAACTCTATAATGACCACACCTGTTACAACGAACCCGGATGACGTCCGTGTATATTACGAACACAGCAGGTGAGCGTCTTCACTCCTGGGATATAAAGCAGCAAACAACTTCCTCTAGAGTGACGTCACTGTCTTTTATAAGATCCTCACTCCGAGCCCAAACTGTCGAACGATCACTGAAGACCTCCAGAAATTTCCTCAAATGATAATATATCGTGAAGGCAGGATATGACTGCACAATGTACTAAGCTCAAGGATACACTTATGTACTGTTGATAACACTGTTGATTAATACATTGTCATACTTTTTTTAGGTGTTGTTTATCATAGTAGGAATTAAGTACAAGTACATCAAGGCACATATTTGCACCTGTAAACTTTAACAGATACTGTTAAAGTCAATTTGTTTGCCCTCCCCTTAATTTAATATAATGTTTCCCAAGTGATCTTTAACAAACCAAAGAAATTTTCACAGCATTTCCTGTAAAACTAAAATAATTATTCTGGATTAATAATACGTCTTATTTCTTAGTTTGTTTTGAATAAAAGCAGTTTTTGATTTAATTTGATTTTGATTTTCAGTATCATTAGCCTCCTTAAAAATATTTACTGTGCTATTTTAATTGTCTATACAACAAACCAGTTATACAATAACTTATGAATGACTAATTATTTTTACTTTATAGCTAACATAACCTTGTTAAGTCTATAAATTACACCTTAATCTGAATACAACTATTCGGTAAAATAACTAGTAAAATATGCACTCACTGTCACCGCGGGAAAGATAAAAAAGTAATTATTAGAAATTAGTTAGTTAAACTATTATGTTTAAAAGCATGTTGTAAAAAATCATGAGTTTGAAGATTTGTGCTTTATGTCACATCTAAAACCAAAAATGAATAAAGGCAAAACTAAACTAGTTGAATATTACTTTTACATGAGGGTGACTGAAAACAAAATTTTATCAATGTGTTAAATCTGTTCTCTTGCTGTATACTTGCTGACTGTTTGTAAATTAAAGACTGCATTCCCTAACGTAAAACTATGTACACTCAATTTCTGATTATTAATAGCCTCCGCTCAGCCAAGGACTTCCTAAATTAAAAGTTTTAAAATTGAAAACAAAAGTCTAATATAATCAACAATAGAAATTTTGATAGTTCTTCACAACATGAACGTGACTAAAGTTGATTACCTGTGTCAATTTGGGGCTTAGTTTCTGATGAATGTGGAAAACTGATGAGCGCAGCACCGTCACTGACAAAAGTCATGGGAAAGGGCGCGACATTTGAAAGTGCGTGATGTCTAATCTTGCTTCTCCATGGTGTTTTAATTGTGACACAAAAATATGTGTCCAAATTTAGGGGGGCCAGAGGGAGGAAAAAAATGAAATCTATAATAAACAAGGAAACTGCAAAACAGTCATGCAAATGTCTTTATTAGCTAAATCTACAATGTTTGTGTGAAGGACAGTGTGTGTGCTTGTTTATGTGAGTTATGAGAACAAAAATTATTTGTATAATGACATGGGTATGACCAGTGGCGTATAGCGCAAAAAGAATGAAAAAAATTGACACATTGCTAAAAAAAAATATTTTGAAAAAATAAATTAACAAAAAACTGAAAAATCACATGTACATCATTATTTACAGCCTTTGCTCAGTACTTTGTTGATACACCTTTGGCAGCAATTACAGCCTCAAGTCTTTTTGAATATGATGCCACAAGCTTAGCACACCTGTCTTTGGAAATTTTTGCCCATTTCTCTTCCCAGTACCTCTCAAGCTCTATCAGGTTGGATGGGAAGCGATGGTGTACAGCCATTTTTTGATCTGTAAGGGATGTTCAATAGAATTTAGATCTGGGATTTGGCTGGGCCACTCAAGGACATTCACAGAGTTGTTGTAAAGCCACTGCATTAATATTTTGGCAGTGTGCTTTGGGTCATTGTCCTGCTGGAAGATGAATCATCACCCCAGTCTGAGGTCGAGAGCACTCTGAAGCAGGTTTTCTTTCAGGACGCCTCTGTACATTGCTGCATTCATCTTTCCCTCTATGCTGACTAGTCTTCCAGTTCCTGCTGCTGAAAAACATCCCCATAGCATGATGCTGCCACCACCATGCTTCACTGTAAGGATGGTATTAGCCTGGTGATGATCGGTGCCTGGTTTTTTCCAAACATAATGCCTGGCAATCACTCAAAAAAGTTCATTTTTAGTCTCATCAGACCAGAGAATTTTGTTTCTTATGGTCTAAGAATCCTTCAGATGCCTTTTGGCAAATTCCAGGTCGGGAGTGGCTTCCATCTGGCAACTCTACCATACAGGCCTGATTAATGGATTGCTGCACAGATGGTTATCCTTCTGTAAGTTTCTTCTGTCTCCACAGAAGAACGCTGGAGCTTATGCCTAGTTCAGACTGCATGATTGAAATCGCCAACAAATTCAATTCAATTCAGCTTTATTTGTATAGCGCTTTTACAATGTAGATTGTGTCAAAGCAGCTTCACATAAATGGTCATAGTAACTGGAACAGTGTAGTTCAGTTTTTATTGTTTAAGTTCAGTTCTGTTCAGTTTAGCTCAGTTCAGTGTGATTTAAAATCATTACTGAGAGTTCAAACACTGAAGAGCAAATTCATCGATGCATAGCTCTACCAATCCTGAACCATGCGAGCCAGTGGCGACAGCGGAGAGGGAAAAAAAACTTCACCTGATAGGAGTGTAGAAAAAAAAACCTTGAGAGAACCAGACTCAGTTGGGCACGACCATTTTAATTTCTCCGCTGGCCTTGTGCAGAGCTTCAGTCACCGCGGTGGAGGCTGGAAGATGGCCTCAGCGAAGACTCGTCTGTCCCTGGAGCATTGCTGGAATCAAACTCATGTTCTCCACTCCCCATGACCATCAGCGCAGCAGCAGCTCAGGATATGGCCTGGTCCCGGTTATGGAAACCTTGGGATCATCTTGTCGCTGGTCTTGGATCCAATCAGTGACTGCATAATCTGAGGACCTCGGGATGAGTATTCCCAGGTGAAAATAGAGAATAATTAGCGTAGCTGCTGTTCATAGTGTATATAAGCAAGATGCAGAAGCCTGTGTGGAACCCGCTAGGTGATGCATTGAGTGTATGCTTTACTAAACAGATAGGTCTTTAATCTAGTTTTGAACCTCGGATGTTATCAGGAAGGCTATTCCAGAGTGTGAGCCATGAAAGAGAAGGCTCAACCTCCTTTACTCGATTTTGCTATTCTAAGTACTACCAGAAGCCCTGAGTTTTGAGATCATAAAGAGCGAGTTGGATTGTTGCGAGACAGAAGGTTGGTTAGATAAACAGGAGCTAGATTATTTAGAGCTTTATAGGTGAGAAGTAATATTTTAAATTCAATATGAAACTTAACAGGCAGCCAGTGTAAGGAGGATAAAATTGGGGTGATATGATCATATTTTCTAGACCTGGTAAGAACTCTGGCTGCTGCATTTTGTACTAATTGAAGTTTGTTAATAGAGGATGCCTGAAACAAATGCCTGAAATCACAGGCAAATCGGTGCTTGTGCACGTGAGTGACAATCACACAGTATGAACTATCAAAGACGCGATCTTTGAGAGTCGCCGATGCCTGCGAGATATTTGGCATGCTAAATATCTGGAGCTGTCAGCGAGACAAATCATGCTGTGTGAATTGAGTTTTGACTGAAAATAACATCAGCGATCGCCTACAGTCAATGAGAGAGCAGCATTTACTTGTGAGTGCATGTGTGTATACCTGCTGCAGGCCAGGGGGAGGCTGGGGGAGAAGTTAAAAGTGCTAATTTTTTGGTTTATTTGGACCCACGAAAGGGAGGAAAAACTAGTGAAGGTTTGACAGGACTCAGGAGCACCCGTGTCTGTTTGACTTTTCATACATGAAGAAGTTAGTTTATTATCAACTTAAGTTGAGGAGAAATGGCTAATTCCCTTTAAACCCAGGTGAGCAAATATGTACATTTTCGACCCCATTAAAGGCTTCTTTCTCATTATGTAGTTAATAACAAAACATTTACTATGTGTTTTTGGTTGTGAGATGTAGTTTGGATGAAGTTGTCGGCGATTCTTTCTATGGTAAAGTCATGCAATGTGAAAGCCCCTGTCGCCGGTCCATCTTGCAGTGTAAACAAAGCATCGACGAAACGCTAGCCCAGATAGTCATGCTGTGTGAAAACATCTGTGACACGACTACTTTGAAAATAATGCAGTCTGAACTCGGCATTAGACAGAGTGACTACTGGGTTATTGATCACCTCTATGACTAAGGGTCTTCTCCCCCGATCTCTCAGCTTAGATGGCCGGCCAGCTCTAAGAAGAGTCCGGGTGCTTCCAAACATTTTCACTTAAGGAATCATGATGGAGGCCACTGTGCTCATTAGAACTTTCAGAGCAGCAGAAATTTCTTGTAACCTTCCCCAGCCTTGTGCCTTGAACAATCCTGTCTCAGAGGTCTACAGACGATTCTTTTGTCTTCATGCTTGGTTTGTGCTTTGACATGCACTGTCAACCCTAAGACCTTATATAGACAGGTGTATGTCTTTTCAAGTTATGTTCAATCAACTGTTCTGCTACTGTGACTTTAATTTACTAGCAGAAGTTATGTTAGGTTTTATTCTACAGCTATACAAAGTACAGGTAGCCATATTTTTATAATTTATATTTTATGCATGATATTTTAATATTTTACACATTAATCATATATAACATATAAATATGTTACAAATAAATACCAAATAATTATAAAGTTTGATTGATTGATTTAATATTTGAAGTTTTGATAAAAATATTTTTAAAATGGATTAAAAAAAACGACCACTTCTTTTTAATTATATTTATAAGGTTATACGGGCCTATTTACTTTTAAGTACAAATAGCTTTATTATTTAGGAAAAAAGCCACGCTGTCTTATGGTGTCAAAATATTTTGTTCTGGACAACTTTGAGCAACAATGCTGTTAATGGGCAATCAGGTGAGACATAGGGCAACCAATTAGGGCAACCACATCCAGATGCAATTTTGTTACCCATTCTCAATAGGAAAAGTATAGCCAAGCAACATTGCTCAAAAAGGTTTTGAACAGAAAAGATTTTATACACAGAACCCGAAAGACTTTTTGCTCAAAGGTTGCTGAAGAATTGTTTATTAATTTTTTTAAACATTCATGTTTATTAATGGAAATCATTCAAAAATAATATTTATTATGCTGTTCAGAAATTCCCACCAATCATGGTGTTGCTGTGAGCAAAATGTAACAAAAAAAAAGATCTCCACACATTCCAAACAAGACTTCGGTCAATTTCTTTATACCCACAAATGATGTAAATGCACAAACATTTTTTCATGGAATTGTACTTCTTTATCTTATTAAAGCCATGTCTTGTACCCTTGTCTTGTTCATAGCCTATTGCTTTAAAAATAACATAAAAATATATATAATGATAATAATAATAATTATATATATATATATATATATATATATATATATATTGTAGTTTCAAAATATGAGAAAAACAAATGGCAAAAAAACAAAAAACTTTCATATTCAGTGTTGGCGTAAAAAAGTTACCAGGGTTGTACTACCTTCTTAATATTAATAACTGTAGTCACGTACTCACTTATTCACTATGCTTTGACTTAGTTTTGATTTATCAAGCACTGCTACATTGGAATGAACTACCAATTACTCTGACATATGTTTCATGTGGCAGATGCTCTTCCAGCTGTTATCCAGCCCTGGGAAACACCCATACACTCTCTCATTCATACACACACACTCATGCACTACAATTATTATTTTTTTTGCTCAGTTGACCTTTACCACACGTCTTTAGGCTGTGGGAGAATCCAAAGCATCCAGAGGAAACCCACGTGAACAAGGGAAGGACCGGCAAACACCACACAGAAATGCCTTCTAACCTAGCCAGGACTCGAACCAGCGACCTTTCCCTATTACCAACATTGTATCATCTTGTTGTTGCGGGTCCCTGAGGGTCGGTCGCAGTACCCCTAGTGGAGAGCGACAGGACGGTAATATGGCAGCGCTAGGACCCCGCAGCGACCCGGCGCGCTCTGGAGGTGTCAGAGGAGCGCACTTGCTCCGCCAGACTCTGGATCAATTATTTGTATGCAAGTGTCCATCCGGAGGGTCAGTCTGGAGATGGCTGCGAATCGGGTGGGGAGGCGTTATAACAATAAAATCCACTCGCCGAACCGAGGAGCCAGCCGGGAAGCTGGACTGAGTGTGCAGAAGAGACAAGCGCGAGTCACCGTCAAATATAATAGAAAGGAACTCCAGAGGCGCCTGGATGTGGAAAAGTGGATAGATTGTGGACTTGACGAGCTGTATTTGGGAAGGGTGAGTCCTCTTTTTATTTAGAATAATGAGTAAAGTAAAATAAATGAAACACTAATTGACCTAAACAGTTTTCAGATTATAAACTGAATTTTAATGGTAATAAATCTGCTATTTGCTTAATATTTCTTTGCGCTGTCATTGGAAGCTATTAATGAGTAGTTCATTTGTTAGTAGTAAATGCATTTGTCTTATATAGTAATGAAAGTTTCATATGAATGAGAGGAAGATTTAAAATTCTTGCTATCCACGTGGAGATGTGCACCTAGTCTACGTGTCTCAATTGTAAAGCAGGTGTCACTACATTTTAATCCAAAACTGAATGTAAATGTTCTGATGTGGTTAAATGTGATAAAGGATTATTCATTCCACAAGTCAGTTTAGCAAAATAATGCTTGACTGAGTCGCTTAGATGTGCAAATCACAGACTGTTCAGCACGTTTATTCATGAAGGGCGTGAACCTTTTCTCGGGTCATTTCTCGAGACAGCAGCCTTTTGTGTCCCTCATGAATATATAAACAGTGCAAACAGCGACTTTAACGATGACAGGCTGAAACCAACCTTTACCAAATAATCACATGCACTGTTTTATCAACCATTTAAATGACGTTATATATATAGTTTTATATTGTTTGTTTTGTTTCTTCTTGAGGATAGCGTGTATATGTAAACACATTTAAATGTGCAGCATTGTATATTTAATTATTAGACCACATTTTAGAAACTACCTATACAGATTTGTATCTGAAATAATTTATAATAATTAATGAACAATTATTTTATAATAATAATTAAACAATATATACTAATTTAGGTCAGTTAAAAAGGCATAAAAGTCTTATAGTAATAACACAAAAATGCACTTTACATCAAAAACTCCTAATGTCTCCTTTAAAAATGATGATACACTCGCTGCTTGTTCAAATTGCTTGTTAAAATGAGCTGAAACATCACAATTCCTGAGATAAGGGCGACTTAATAGTTTTATGTTAAGTCAACTAAATCATTAATAGTGAACTTAATCGATTCATTTTTGGACAACATGAATAAGCAATTGTGTGGAACCCTGCATTTTTACAGCGAGCCAAAAAGGGGTTTTCGCAGTGAAGCCATAAATAACAACTTAAATTTTTTTGTTGCCTAAATAACCTTTCTTAAAACAATCCATCATTTTTCTTAGTGAGAAGTTTCATAAATGTTAAAAGTTCATCATGCACCCACCAATGTCAATAAGAAATAATTTTTAAGAAAGTAAATACTCTCCAAAAAAAAAAAAAACCCTTCAGTTTCCATCCAATGAAGCACCACCAAAAAAAACTATATACACAATTAAATGCAATTGAGTTGGTCCAAAATGATTACATCAAATAAAAGTTTAAATTCATTCATTCATTCTTTTCGGCTTAGTTCCTATATTAATCTAGGGTCGCCCCACCGGAATGAACCGCCAACTTATCCCGCATATGTTTTACGCAGCGCATGCTCTTCCAGCTGTAACCCATTACTGGGAATCATCCATACACACTTATTCACACACATACACTACGGACAATTAAGCTTACTCAATTCACCTGTACCGCATGTCTTTGGACTTGTGGGGAAAAATGGAGCATCCTAAGAAAACCCGCGCAAACACGGGGAGAACATGTAAACTCCATACAGAAAGGCCAACTGGCTTGAACCAGCAACCTTCTTGCTGTGAGGCAATCGTGCTACCCACTGCGCCATCATGCAGCTTAGTTTAAATACATTTGTATTGTTATTTAAGTTAAACTCAAAGGTCTGAAATTATCATGTATGTTTTTTATGTCTCATATATTTCAACGTATCTTAGTTTTATTTGAAGTTATCCTAAATTAACCAAAAGAGCAATATTTCATGAGTTACATTTACAGCTTTTTGAGACTGATCTCCGCACTAATTTTACGACAGTTATTGCCTACTGAGCAAAGCAACAAACTGCATTTTGCTAATTAAGCTTGGGTGCTTCTAAGCATGGGTGCTTCTGCAACGTGTTAATCTCAAAACCCAAAGCATTACATAAAATGTTCTAAATCTTCAAACTAAAGGCACAATTAAACTCCAACAACCCTTTCTATTAACTTTAAACACTTAAGATTACTTTTATTGTCTTCATTTCCCTCTCTTAATTCAATCCCACGCAAAGTATGCTGAGAAACACAAATCCCCTAACCTGTTAGTTGGACCAACACAATTCCTTCATGTTGTCACAAGACAAAATGCTTAAGTTAACTTAATGGTTTACAAATAAAATTAACTGGCCAAAGAAATTACAAGAATTGTATTGTTTCAGCTAATTTTAAACAGGCAGTCTGAACAAGCAGCAGTATTCTTTTAATTGAGTGTAAATACTTTCTTATTAGCAAGCATTTATAAAACCACACACGTTTTGAAGATTTGTACCTCACACCTTGGCATGGAATTTGCATCTCCTAATGCTTTTAACACTAACTTGACTCAGCTTATTGTTAATGTAGCACAAATTTACATCAAGCTGCTATTACTCTTCCCCTGGGAGGCTTGAAAAAAAATGTTTGATATGCAGAAATGCTAACAATATCCAATTAGTTCACATTCTTGTGTCTTGGGATATTTTAGGATGTAAGTTTTTTTTCTTCTTGTGTCCAGTTCCCAAGATCAGGGGGCTGATCTTAAATGCTTAAAGATGCTGTTAAGATTTGTTGGTGCGTTTGCTGCCTTACATGGAGAGCGGAGAGCTCTGGGATGCCAGCAGGCGCCTGGAAAACAGTAAACACTCACAGTCACTGGGCTTTGTAATGGTGGATGTTTGGGCTCTGACACTGAAACGCACATGGCTTCCTGCCACCAAAAACACAGTTATGAAATGATGAAGAAGAGACTAAAGGGTGTTGCAACAAATTCAGTTTCAACATCTGTGGTGGTTTTCTGGGGTTAAATTATAGGAGTTTATTTTAATCTCACAATTTAAAATTGTAAAATAATTGTAAAATAAAAATATTTTTGCACAAGCTGTAGCTGCTTTTAAGCTGTTTAAACTATACACAGATTTAGTTTAGGATTAGATTTGAATCATTTTTATTTAAAAATGCTTGTAAATTTACGAAATAAGAAATAACACACTGAATTGAACATTCAATTTTGAAAAATGTTGAAATAAGACGGCAAGGTGGCTCAGTGGTTAGCACTGTCACCTCACAGCAAGAAGGTCACTGATTCAAGTCCCGGTTGGACCAGTTGGCATTTCTCTGTGGAGCTTTCATGTTCTCCCTGTGTTTGCGTGGGTTTCCTCCTGGTTCTCCGGTTTCCCCCACAGTCAAAAGACATGCACTATTGGTGAATTGAATAAACTAAATTGTCCGTAGTTTATGTGTCTGAATCAGTGTGTATGGGTGTTTCCCAGTTCTGGGTTGCAGCTGGAAGGGTATTTTCTTTAAAACATATGCTTAATAAGTTGGCGGTTCATTTCGCTGCAGCCTGATGAATAAACCTATCAGGTAGAGGACGTCAACATGTTGTCATTATGACGTTGTCCCCAACGCACCCCAACGTCGTGGGGACATTGGATTTTGTTTTAAAAAAATCTAATTACGCCAAAGGAAAATTAATAAATATTTTGTTATTTTAATTGTAATGCAATTATTTTGTTAAATCATTGACAAAAACTATTAATTTATGATGGAATTGATGGATTTAAATATATAATCTATTTACTTTTCTATAATTAATCTTATGATAATATTTTACTGTAAAACATTATATAGTGTATTTGATTTAGAAAATGTGTCAGTGTACCTATCCTAAGTATTTTTGCTATTTTCTGAAACTTAAAAAAAACTAATAGTTCCAAAAAAAAAATCACATTAAACCACAACAGAATATTTGGCATCTCTATGTTAATATTAGGATGCTCTTAAATGTGTGTGTGTGAGAGTCATTGCATACACTCATATTAAGGCACAATACCTCAAATTCATAGAAAAGGGTTAGTGGTAAGTACAAAGATCACAAAAGGCACATCTTTATTCCCAATTTACCTTTATAAGGTGCACATCAGTACCAAAAAGTGACATGAAGTGTACATATTAGTACTCTTTAAAAGAGTTTTACCCCAGTGACCAACTTTTAGTTTTCATAAATGGTGACTGAACAATTGCCAACAGTAAATTTTTGCAATCTTTATAATGTGATGTTGGTGCTAAAAAGTAACAGCCCCCACTGAGGCTGTAATCAGATCCTGCTCTTCATTTCCTGTCGGCAGCAGACCCGACAATATCCTGCTCTTATGGTCCTGGGATTGATTGATTGATGGTAAATTTGTCTCATGGGGTGTTCCTTATGAGTGAGGGGGATGGGGGCTGTGGAAATGAAGACCCCATATGTCACTGTATCACACAAAGAAAGCCCTCCTGCAACTGTCCTCCACCCCCATCCCACAAAATAACAACCCGTTACCTATTGGTCCACACACAGTGCATCACAAGCCCCATTAAACAGGACTATTAGTCCGCGGCTGTTAGTCTGCAGCTCTATCAAAAGCTTAATGAAAAGCATAGATTAGAGTACCGGAGTGATCAGATCAAATCTATTTTTTCTCCATATCATCATATATGGGTCAAGCGGACAAAACTTTGTGCTAGATATGATGTATCCAATGTATAAAATGAAACATGACAGTAGTAGTTTTACACTTAAACTAAAATGAGTGTCGGTGGTTCACTGTCATGTGGTTGCAAACCTTTATGAGTTTGTTTTGTCACTAAAGAAGATATATTGTAGAATAATTGAAATGAGTAGCCATTGATTTTTATAGTTGGAAAAAAATAACATAGGCGAAGCAGTGGCGCAGTAGGTAGTGCTGTCGCCTCACAGCCAGAAGGTCGCTGGTTCGATCCTCGGCTCAGTTGACGTTTCTGTGTGGAGTTTGCGTAAAAATTTGCTGGATAAGTTGGCGGTTCATTCCGCTGTGGCGACCCCAGATTAATAAAGGGACTAAGCTGAC